GAACCAATAAGGGAGTCTTAAATAAAGCATGTAAAAATACCCCAAAGGCGAAACTTATTCTGCGACTAGTACTTACAAAACATGCTCATCAGTAATATTCCTAGATAAGTATTTCGCCAATTCTGAATATCACTGAACATGTAGACGCAAGTGTATATTTAAGCTAATCGTAGTGCTATTCCAAATTAGATAGATAAAAAGAGGAGGAAAAAGGATTAAACGCACATCTCGAGAAGGGTACGTGGTTAGCAATTTGAAGTCGTCAACTGGAAAGCCGAGCGACTCAATGTAGCCTAGAATATCTTCCAAAGTGTTTGTGCCAGCGAACCGACGCGTGATTAATCCACCCTTCTGCAGAATGGGCATACGATCACGCTCCCCCTCCAGCTCCAGCTCGAGCTTTCGTTCACGCTCAGCTTCCTCTTCTGCCCGTTGTGAACATGCTTCTGATCTGGCTCCGCTCCCACTGGACCCTCGTTCACCAGCATTGTGATCAGGATTTGTCTCGTGTGGCAGCCGTGTAATTCCACGCGGCAACCGGAATCTCAGCGTGGCGATTCCCAGTCGACCAGCTGGTTGCTCCAAGAATGCATCACCCGCAGGACTGCCTGGTGCTGGTGGTTCCGGTGGCAGTCGAGCAGCCATTGACAGGCGGTGCTGGGCCGCCGCCACTGCCGCATTTCTGTGCTGTAACTGCACAAGATATGCTCGACGGCGCTCGTCGGCCTCTTCCTCGGCTCGTACCTTTTCCTTATTGAAGAAATAACGAGCCGAAAGAACGGATACACATTAATGTATGCTTCTCTGCCTATTTATAATAATATATGCAATTATAAGGAGCAAATGCTTATAAACTAATCAAGACTAAAAAAAGTAGCAACCGTTTGTGATCGAAACGCTCCAAGCCTAAAATGCTGTCTCCGGAGGTGGATATGCAAACAGAGCGCTAGCTAGTCTATAGATGAAATAAGAGAGCTCAGGAAAGGAAAATAATTTGAGTGGTAAGACCTGAGGGCGAGTAAGGAAGTTCAGGCCATCCGTCATACGCATAAAATGGTCGAAGGGATGAACAAAAGATGAGAAATAGTAAAAAAAATAGCAGCGCAAATGGCAAAGATAGTGCATAACAGTGTTACATCTCGCATCAACCAATTCTTATGGAATTAGATGAGCAATATAAATAGAAAAAATACAGGAGAAAACAGAAGAAGGCTATAAAAAACAAGGACAAAAATGAAAAATGGTTTCATGTTAGCTAGGCGATATTTACAAGAGTTATGCTAAAAAAACCACAATTGATAGAACATTCATACATAGGGGAAATGCAAGAAAGACTTCAAAGTCAAAAATAGGGCACCGAGATAGCCAAGACCTTGTAAGAATGAAGGATGAACCAGGAAAGATTTACCAGTAATGATTCATGCTCGAAATTTTTTGAAAAGTGAGATATTATGATAGAGTATAGAAAAGATACTTTGATCAGCCACTTGAAGAAGAATGAAAATATAGTATATATAACAAAGGTTAGTTGATTTGGTTCAGACTTGTATGAACATGTAATGTCTAGGATGAATCAAATGATAAATTGACGTACGCACATTAAGTCGAAATAACTGGTACAAAAATCAAACTAGAGGCAATTAAATATATGAATTAATACTAAGCACTTCACTATATAATAAATGAGTCCCGCTAACCCAAGTGGGAATTCGGCACTTCAATGAAGTACTAAGTTTCTAGTGACTTTTAGAGGAAAATAGGGAGCCTTCCCAGCCAACTGCAAATAGTGAACAAATTTCAGATGACACAACCGAGTCAAAGTCAATATTAATACAGGCAAGGTAAGCAAAAATAGGCAAAGGTAATTTTTCGTAGCCATAATTCCTATATACTAGTCGGAAATGTATCCTACTTGCAACCATCGTAAAGTTAGTAAGGCATGAGCGCCTGGTCATGTCGATAGTCAAATGGAATTCAAGAAAAAATAGGGCTTCAATATGTAGCAAAATAAAATTATATATAAAGGAATGTGATTGAAAAATGCTGTATAGGGAGGCCTATCTAGGCTTTAAATCAATTTAGAGACGAGAAAAATAATAAGGGCCAGTAACACAACACTTCACTTGTCTCTTTGACGAGCTGTACTATGATACTACGAATGGCGAGACTCACTGACGATGCCGGCGAAACGTCTGGGAA